GATTCCACCTCTTGGGTCCCCTTCTTCCTCCAGGAGAAGTCTTTTCTGCTGTCCTTTAATAAACTTCTAATTTCTACTCTGGAAAAAAAAAAAAGGCTTGGGGATGTGGCTCAGTGGTCAAGCATCCCTGGATTCAATTCCCGGTACCAAAAGAAAGAAAGAACTCTGTAGTGCAGTAGAAACCCAGGCCTTGCTTAGGCTAAGAATTTTTGTGAGTCTGCTTATACCCTCTCACTGCCCTGGGTGTGGGCTCCTCCAGAGGAGGAAATGGAGACTGAAAAAGTTGAAGCATCATTGGCTCCTAGCCAGGTCTCAAAGTCAGTGGCTACAGAGCCCTGGATGACACCATCCCTGAACTGGCCAAGCCGCCGTGGGTTCTGGGGCCCCGGGGTGTGAGTCTTCGAATACTGCAAAACAGTCTCCCCTGGTGAGGTCACTGTGGTGATCCAGTGTTGTCTCCCATCTCCGCCCCACAGGAAGTGGTCTTGTACTGCCTGGAGAACAAGATTTGTGATGTGAATCACCGTGACAACGCAGGTTACTGTGCCCTGCACGAAGCTTGTGCTCGAGGATGGCTCAACATCGTGGGACACCTCCTTGAATATAGCGCTGATGTCAACTGCAGTGCCCAGGATGGAACCAGGTCAGTAGTGTGTCTTGCCTTGGCCTGGCCCAGCAGGGCCAAGACAATGGCTCTCAGGGTACCTGGAAACCTTGGGAAGAACCACAGAGGGAATTGAATTCTCGAATTGAATCAAACAGACCTTTCTGGCCTATTTGAATTCTGGCCCACTCCTGGCCAGGGCTGCAGCGCTCCCATGGACCAGAGCGCTGCCCCCCCCCCAAAAAAAAGTCAAGATCTGTGTGAATGGTCAGGGTTGTGGCCTTTAAGACCCTGGGCTGCTTATCACCGTCTCTGAAATCACTACTTAAAAATATCTGTGAGCTGGAAGTCCTAAGACACAGACAGAGCCAACTGCCCTCCCTCACCGGTTCCACAGGACCTGCCTCACCACCCACATCCCAGGCCCTGGCCCTCGCCCTGTCCTTGACCTCAGTTTATTGGTCAGAGACCCAGGTCTGAGTCAGCTCAAGCGTCTTCCTGGCTCCAGCACCTTAGGGCCCCGCCTGGAGGCAGGGCAATGGGGTTCCCGGACAAAGGAGCCACACAGAAGCTTCTGGTCTTCTGCCCTTGGCAGTTGGCATTCCCTCAGAATGGGGCATGGCTGGGGGCAGTGGGGGAGCTCTGTACCCTCCCGAGGACACACCTCACCCAGCCCTGCACATCATTGGTCAGTGTGTGGCCCGAGCCAGGCTTTCAGAACAGTGTCTGTGCACTGGACACTGGACGTGGTGGAGTCCCGCCCCGCCCCCACTGGATGCTATAGCAATGGCTTGTGCCTTGGCCTGTGTGAAGATTGGGTTGTTTTCTCTTAATCCCAGTCAGTTTCCTTTACCTGGCGAATCGCAATTGCAGTTCATTGAGAAGACTTTTATTTTAGGCTTGACAACCTCCTTAGGCCTGGGAGTGAGGTCAAGTGTCAAAATGACAGTAATTACTTGCAGGGCTTTGGGCCCGTCCCTGTGCCTCAGCCTCCCCTTCTGCAAAAGCAACGACCTTGCTCACCTTACTCCCCTCCTGGGTGAGATATTACACCCAGGAGGCCCAGCAGCCTGTGGCACCCCTGTGCCCGGTGTGCCTGTTACTAAATAAGACTACTTGGGAGGAAGTGGCACAGGCCTAGTCTGAATGTCATCGTGCCTCTGTCCCCAGGCCTCCGCATGATGCCGTGGAGAACGACCACCTGGAAATTGTCCGCTTGCTTCTTTCTTATGGTGCTGATCCCACTTTGGCTACATACTCAGGTAGAACCATCATGAAAATGACCCACAGCGAACTAATGGAGAAGTTTCTCACAGGTATGACAGAGCCCAAGCAATGTTCTCATCCAAAAGTTAGATTGGGGGCCACCGGCGGGTGTGGCTGAGTGGTACAGCTCTTCCCTGACAGGGACGAAGCCCTGGGTTCCATCCCTAGCACTAAGTCAGTTCCTCACCAGACTCTTCCTGCCAAGGAACACCACAAGTCAGATGGCAGGAGCTACTTTTAGATTAGGATGTGACAGGGCAGAAACCAAAAAGGCTGGGTTTTTTAAAGCTCTGAGTGACAGCAGTCGGGCGTTGGGCTTTTGGTATGAGGTGACCCTACGCTAGCGAGGCCAGTTGATCTCTTTGCTTGAAGATTCTAAAATGTTTCCTAAAGCTATTTGCATTTTCCTCAAATGCATTTTTCACTAGAGTATGGCTCTTGGGGTTTATATCATGAGTCTGGGTGAAATGACTCAAACGTCCCCTGAGCGGGATTCTCTGGGTCACTTTGCGGTGCGTGGTCTTGGGCTGACCTGTCTTCTCAGCCCCGGGCGCTCCCAGACACTGCGGCTCAGTTCCTTACCAGACTCTTCC